TCTCTTTCTTTGTCTCCCTCATTCTCTTTGATCTTTCTCTGTCTCCTCTCCAACAGTTAGGGCTTCTTCGCTCCACCTCACGCATGTCCAGAAAGTGTCCCAGCATATCCATGGCATGTCCGACTGGAAAATTTCAAAAAAAAAAAAAAGGGACACGTTAAAGAGAGTGTCGGACACGTGTCTACTATGTGTCCGACGCATGTTCGTGTCTGACACTCGTACGCAGGGCCTCGGACGTGTCGGTGCTTCATAGATGACAGTCAATTCCTTATATTTTTGGTCAAATTTCACTTTGGTCCCTATGCAAGTGTCTATGCCCCTTTTCTGTTACTCAATTATTTAAATATTTAATAGAATTTAATCCTGCGACAAAAATGTGACTACGACATGAGTGTAAGAGAGGAAAATCATCTATATTTTCTAACAATACACACAATGTCTCAAAATTTACATCAAATTATGATTGTATTATGCTAAAATAAAACGCAAATTGTGTGTGATTAAGAAGATAAATTAGGGTTTTGCATATATTGTAATCATGAAACTTTATTTTTCATAGTAACACAATCTTCTGTCTATTCATCTTCCTTTCTCTTTAATTTTTTTGTCGCATTTTTATTTATTTCAAAAGCCCTATTTTCTTGCCTCTTCGTTCCAATTTTTGGCATACGAATATATATATATATATATATGTATATATATATATATTGTATTATATGACTCTCACGTGTTTATCACGTAAAACAAAGTTTATTGGTGGAAAACATGGATGGTTTTTCTTACTCTCATTTCGTAGTCACATGATTGGATTTTGTTAAATGTTTAAAAATGAAGTAACAGAAGAGAGACATTGACACTTGTGTAGAGACCAATGTGGGATTTGAGCAAAAGTGTAAGGGATTGACTGTCACGATTTCATATGTAAGGACTAAAGTGAGATTTGATCAGAAGTGCAAAGGGTTAACTGTCATGATTTCAATTGTAAGGGCCAAAGTAGGATTTGGTGCAAAATGCAAGGGTGCAAAGTGGTGAGTTACGATACTTAATGATCCGCTACGTACTTTAATGGTTTTTTTTTTTTTTTTTTTTTTTTTTTTTTTTTTTTAAACTTTTAATTTTATTACTTATATTTTCTTAAATATAATTTTAATATATTTATTATGTCACGGTTCGATTCCGATTTAATCTGACGATTGAACTGATGATCCGTCTAGTTGATTCCTTTTCCAAATCGCTCACTGAACTGGTTTTTAAAATATTGTGGGGGGCCATAGCATTTTTCAAATCTAAAACAAAATCCTAACTTCCGTTAATGCACGTGTAAATAGAATTAAATAATCTCATTACCCCTATCTGTGCACATAATCTCCTGTTATTTGAACAAGTAGGCACATGTAATACAAATTAACGGCATATTTTATTCGACAAACCACAAGTGGCTATTTTCAAAAGAAAGAAGAATTATATGTAGATAACCTACACCCTCACTTAAGTCCTCTGTGAAAGAGCCAAAATGTTTCACAGAAACCTACAACAGTATCCATAAAAAGGAGTCTTCAGTGTGAAACACCGATATGCATCAAAGTTAATATTCTGGCTACCCAAGTAATAATTTAGTTTGAATGAACATTTTAGCATCCATTGAAGCAGTCTCCTTAAAACTAGATTTAAACTCAGATACAATTGTTTCTTGCCAATTGTTTCTTTTAACAGTTCCATTGCCTTATAATACCAACCCAATAGCAACCCTTTACCAACCCATTTCATGAGTGGGTCGCCGTCGTCGGGAGTGTGCCATCGTCGAGAGTAGTGGGTTTCAAGAGTGGGTCGCCGGTGAGGCTGGGTTCAGTGGAGGGTCACTGGTGAAGCTGGGTTCAGTGAGGGTGAGGTGAGTGAGAGTGAGGGAAATTTTTAATTTGTTTTGATTTTTTTTTTTTTGGACAGATTTGGACCGCCAGATCTGTTTGGATGCATCTGGACCGCCCCAAGTAGGAACTCAAGGAGAGGGTATAAGGAAAGGATCTGAACTCTTCATTGGCTCTGCCCCACTTTTTATTTTTTTTAAATTTTTTTATGCGACCCTTGTCCTTAATAATTCCTTCATTTCAAAATATTAGTACCTTATACTATTTTGCATTGTCTCAAAATATTAGTCCATTTTCAAAAATTAAGGATTAAAATAATATGAATTTCTTATTTTGTCCTTCTTTTAAATTTATTAACAATATAAAAAGTATAATTATGACAATTAATATTTCTAAAAAAATATATTATCAAAAGGTAATTTTAAAAAATTAATATCTTTAGGACATGTTTGATTGACAGAATTAGAGTATGGAATTGAGATTATTAATCCGTGGACCTAATAATCTTGTGTTTGTTTTGAAATTTTATTTCAGGATTATTAATCTAATGGATAATTAATCTAACAAATTTGTAAAATTATTAGTAATGGGATAAGAGTGGGATTATATATCCTGAGTTAGAAAATAAAATAAAAAAAATTCTTTTATAGCATATGTTGATACATTAATTTGTACATATAACACAACTGTAAGTCTTTAGATTCTAGATTTTACTTTTCTTGGGGCCAAAGCGAATTATACCTAATGTCAGAAGTGTAGATTTGAAGCCCTATAGAGGTAAGAATTCACGACTTACTCCTAAAAGTGATATGTGGGATCTCGACTCCTTATAGAGTCTAATTCCAAAAATCATCCCTTTGTGATTAGTTTTTTTTTTTTTGGTAGAACCCAATTATTTTTTAATAATTCCTTCATTTGAAAATATTAGTACCTTATACTATTTTGCATTGTCTCAAAATATTAGTCCATTTTCAAAAATTAAGGATTAAAATAATATGAATTTCTTATTTTGTCCTTTTAAATTCATTAACATAAAAAATACAATTATGACAATTGATATTGAAATATTTATCAATAGGACTTTTCTTAAGTATGCAACTTACACCTTACACTTACGCCTTTCTGTTTGCTGTCCTGTTTTATGTTTACCCCTTCCATTTACACCTTTTGTGTTGGTTGCACATGGTGTGCAACTTTAAGGGGTTGCACACCATAACAGTACCCAATTAAATCCCATCTTACGAACAATTATACCAATCAGTCCCACTTTTGAAATGTTGTTCAGATAAGCCCTACTGGTGGAGATGTTTAGGTCAATGTGAGCCTATTTTCAAATTTGGTAGTGAGTTGTGGACAGTTATGCCCTTTGAGAAATTTTTCCCTTTTTAGTGCTTATATTTTTAACTTTTTTAGAATATAATTTTTTCGTCTCTTACAGTTAAAGTTGAAACAGAAAAATATTATAGATAAAATTAAAGGGATTAAAATAAAATTTAAAATCAATTATAAAGGTCACTGGTATAATATATTCATTATATCATTGTTCTCTATAATTTGTTTTGATTCTAATGTTGTCCTTCTAATTTTGCATCTAATTTTTTTCTGTTCCAAATGTTAAAATGACAATTTACTTAGATTACAAAAATTAATGATTTAATTTACAATTTAATTATTTTGTTTCTCTCTTTTGTAAGAGATAACCAAGGTAATACTCTAAATAACGAGAAATTTTAAATACAAAACGAACAACACTCTTCAATATAGATCAAGGACTAAATTTTTTTTATTTTTTATTATTTTTATGAAGATTTGCTTGACTTTTTTTCTTTTTTGGCCTTGATTTGGTTTGATTGTTTGTTTTATTTTCTTGTCCTAGGTTGCAAGTTCACTGGTAGCCTTGGATCTTCCCTGGAATCAAGATAGGGAAAGCGGTAATGTTTATTAGATAAATTAAATTGGTAGCTTTTTTATTTTGTCTCATATATTATTTTAATTCTTATATTTTTAATTTATTTAATTTTGATTTTAATTTTAAATTTTGTATCAATTTAATTTAGTTGACAACACCAACTAATGTTTTTAAGTAAAATGGTTAACGAGAAGATTGAGATGTACTCACTTAACTGATAAAATTTATAATTTTATCCCTAAAAGTGTAATTTCATGTTACTCATGTGCGCACATTTCATAATTTTTTTTTTAAAAAAGTTACTGATTATAGTCAATTAAGAGGTTGACAAATTATTTGTTTATTATTATTTTCTTTTTCAAGTACAAGTGGGGTTAAGAGTGGTGAGTAGAGTTAGATTAATAAGGAGATGACTCCCGATACTTGATTCATTAATTAGATTTTGATACAGGAGCACTACCAAAGTATTTAAGGGTTGTACAGGTTGCAGTGAGCAGTAAAGGTAGGGAAGGGAGTGAAGGTGACTAGGAAAAGGGTGTACAACTATTTAGAGAAATTACAATGGTAGCTATGAAGAAGAGAGGAGGTCGGGTGATAGAGTGGGGACAAGCATAGAAAGTGGCTGGAATGAAAGAAAAATAAGAATAAGTTTGACGACAAAAGAATGGGAGATAGGTAATAGTAAAGGAAGAGAGTTAAGCTTGACGAAAAAAGGGGCTATTTTTATTTTTCGTCAATTCTGGTAATAAATTAATTCTGATGAGGGAAAAATTTTAATTTTCAAAATCAAAAAGAGTAAACTATATTTCTAATTAAATTTCAAGGAGCATATTTATAATTTATCCCTCCTCCCCTCAAAAACAAAACAAAACAAAACAAAAATTCCATTTTATCCCTTTGTAGTACAAATTATGTGCACATGAAAAATTTTAATTTTCAAAATCAAAAAGAGTAAACTATATTTCTAATTAAATTTCAAGGAGCATATTTATAATTTATCCCTCCTCCCCTCAAAAACAAAACAAAACAAAACAAAAATTCCATTTTATCCCTTTGTAGTACAAATTATGTGCACATAATACCCATGTCATTTGAAAATAAACAATTAACGCCTTGTGATTTATGGATACTTGTAAACAAACTTAAATAATTTCATTTTCTGAACTACACACTTCACTTTGCCCCTATATATGCAAATAATCCCCTACTATTTGACAAGGTAGACACGTGTAATACGCTGTTAATTTTGATGAAAACAGTATATTTTATTCAACAAACCACAAGAAGTTAAAGTGACTATTTTCAAAAGACGGAAGAATTATATGCAAATAACTTGTCCCTCACTTAAGCCCTCTGTGAAAGAGCTAAAATGTCTCACAGTGCCAAACCTACAACAAAAATTGACCCATCATCCATCACACCACCTCCTTTAACCTCCTATGTATCATAGACTCCAGACAAGTTCTTGTGCATTAACTGGGGAGAGAAAAGTGCTACGAGCAATGGATTTCTCCTTAAACAGGCAATAAAATCATCCTTGTTGATCTACAAATGTAAAGTTAAAAAAGCTTCAGTTCGAAAGAATTACAAGAAAATCTATTGCTGTGGTTATTTTTCTAAGGTTAATTTATGGATTAGATTGACATGGCCATTGAACCCATGAGAATGTCGATTACTAACCTCAAACTCATCCATGTTTGGAATAGCCTGCCTAATGGAATCTCCCAACTGTGCCATATGCATTTACCAACCAAGAGTACACAACTTGAACTTATTTAAGTATAATAAATAGAAGGAAATACCAAGGAAAAGAATATAAGACATACTTCTTGCTCGGTAATGTAATGGTTTCCACCAGTGTAACACTCAACGAAGGCTAATTCACAGGCTTGTCTGAATAATGGTTGCTTTAGGACATGAGCTGACCCATATAGAAACTGGAAGCAATATATATTCCATCTATGAGAAGCTCTGTATTGGCTTTGTGGAGACAAAGTTGGGACCAATTGGGGATTGCACGTTAACTAACACACACACACACACACACACACACAGATTATCACCTGCTTGAATGTTATTTTACCCTTTTGCTCCACATCAAGGACTCGAAATATCTACAACACAGAATAATCACCATGAGATAGGAGATGAAATCAAGCAAAGAATAACTTCTTAAATATGAAAACTTTCTCAAATCAAGTAACTGTACTTTGTAGTTTTGTCACACATTCCATGGACAGCAAGTGATCGAAATTTATTCACGTATCTAATTTATTTCCACAACAAAGGCCTCATATCCATCCATTCAAGACTAAGGCCTAGTATTGTCTACATAGTCATATGGTATTGCATTTTTCTTTTAGTGACCAAAATTTCACAGCCATTGTGTGTCACCAGCAACTATGTTCAAGTCATCACAAAGACACAACATGGGCCGACATCTAAGAAGCCCAGGCAGACATGGGACATCACCACAATCCAACATTGAAACTTAGATAGTGACTCATCAAATCTTAAGAAAATAGGCACAGATATGATAGATACACAGCGACAAATAAAAGGCCTTTTACATGGCAAATCGCATAGTAAAAACATTAGTTTATGATTCACAAATCTTATATATTGCCTTTTCCTTAAATTAACTATCATATGCGCAACTTAATGCTTAAGTATTTTGTTCAAGTAAATTAGAGAATAAATGACTATGATAATTGTCATAGCCTTGCCGCCACTGGTGCTAAGTTTCTGAAGAACATCATTCAATACTTGCTGCACTCATTTCTATACAAGTTAATAAGAAAAACTAAGGAAACACATGCTTCTAGTGTTGTTTTATTTGATACTTAGCAAAGGTTTTAGTCAAGTATTACTTCTAGTGTTGTTCTTACTTGGGGTTACCATTGGGAGCTACTTTTAAGGCAAAGGGGGTGTGGGATGGGGTGGTAGATCATGTGCAGCGGCAGTTGGCGAGGTGGAATTGGCAGTATTTTCGAAAGGGGAGAACATGATGTTGATTAGGAGTATTCTTTCGAGTATCCCGACTTACTTTATGTCAGTACATGTGATTCCTATGGTAGTTGCAAAGCGGTTAGAAAAGTTGCAACGGGATTTTTTGTGGAGTGGAGGGGTTTCATTATCATTTAGTGGCTTGGGATAGGATTTGCTCTCCTAAGGATAGAGGTGGTTTGGGAGTTAAGCGTTTGGTTCTGTTTAATCCGACTCTTTTGGGAAAATGGTTGTGGCGCTTTGTAGGGAAGGGGGAGCGGTTGTGGAGAAAAGTGGTGGCGGCTATAAATGGTTTGGGTAGGGGGTGGTGCACGGATAGGGTGGGCTAGTCTCATGGCCGGGGTTTGTGGAAGGGGATTGGGTTAAGTCAAGAGGAGTTCTGGAGGAGGGTTTAGTTTAAAGTAGGGGTGGGGGATAGGGTTTGATTTTGGAAGGATAGGTGGTGTGGTTTAGCGATGATGTTTCCTTTGATATATGATATTGCAACTGATTATGAGGTGGCGGCGGCTTCTGTTAGAGTTAGGTAGGGGCAGTTGTTTGTTTGGAATGTTTGCTTGCATCGTGATGTTCATGACTGAGAGTTGGATCAATTGGTGGATCTTTTGGGATTTTTGTATAGAGTGCAATCTGGAGGGAGGGGGAGAATTCTCTGGTATGACATTGCTCGAGGTCCAAGGGGGTTTTTTCGATGTCTTCGTTCTATTGGGTGCTTGTGGGTGGTGTTGCTGCTATGTTTTCTTTGAGGTGTATTGGGTGATGGGGACACCATCCAAGGTAGCTTTCTTTGTTTGGACGGCTGTTTCAAGGCGCATTTTGACTATTGGCAATTTAATTCGTTGTCAACATGTTTTGGTTTATTGGTATTGTTTGTGTTGTGGGGATGTGGAGTCGGTAGATCACTTGCTCATTCATTGTCCGGTTACGTCTCGGCTTTGGATGTTGATTGTTGCAACTTTTAGTTTGGTTTGGATGCAACCGGGTTTCATGTTGGATGTGTTGTAGAGTTGGGGAGGGGGCAGGGTTGGGAGGAGTCGTCAAAAGGCATGGATGCTTGCTTCTCATTGTTTACTGTGGTTGATTTGATTAGAGCGTAGTAGGCATGGTTTTCAGGGTGTGTCTCATTCAGTTCCTTGGTTAAAGAGTCAACTTCTTATGGTGTTGCATAGTTGGGTTACGAGATCGGTTGATCTAGATGTTTTGGCTTTTGTAGTATTGTGGAGGATTTGATTAGTTAGTTTTTGTTGGTCCCTTTGTGGGTTGATATTTTTGTGTTCTTTGCATCGCCTTGATGCTTTTCTAATAAAGTTTGATTATTTATTCCAAAAAAAAATGTGACAACAGCCATTGTAGGTTTGGAATCCAGTCAGAAGCTAAGCATCCTGTTCTACAACTTTGGAATGTCAAGTCCCCAGTATGCAAGTGGTAATATCTTTAAAAAATAAAAAAAATTGGACATTTGCACCTTTGCTATGGCAAGACGTGAACCTTTGACATCCATGTGACGTTCAAGCATTCTGGTCAACTGAACTAGACTCACTTGATTATGTATACTGCAAGTACTCGTATCAATCCACAGATAATAATCAATCATCCATCAATTTCATAAATGATTTGCTTCTATGGGCAATATGTGGATTTAGAGTGCCCTTGTCCTTGAAATGGGATCGTTTAAGTTCTAATTGAACTTTCTAGTAGTGAATTATATTGATATTTAATCATTGATGATATAGCAAAATTTGTGTCTGGCACAGAAATGCAGATTACCTATTACGACTTCTCTCCTCCTCCCACCCACTCCTTATAGGTAATTCATCCTCCTCTTTTTAAAAACGCTCAAATTGAAAATTTTTGTATAAACCGTTGAATTGATATTTCTTCATTATTAAAATTTTCTCCAAACTAGAGGAAATCAGTAACACAACATTTATGTTCTGCGAGTTACATATTGGCCAGCGTCAGGACATGTTGCCCAAGTGTCATAAATCATTAAGTTCAATTTTTTAATAAAGAACGGCTTTAAGATGCGTCCTACACATGTCCAGAAGTGTGAAAAGTACTGGCATTTGACACATACACAAATCCTACTTAAAAATTATCTTGCTGTCTTATTACTCTTTTATTGTTCAAATGTATATATGTAAAAAATGGGTTTGCAGCTCAAATGTCACAAGTCAAAAAAGAACTAGACAAAGATGGCTTACTTAAAAAGGCCTTTCAAGCATGGTGAGACACAAACAAGAAAATAGGATTCATATCAAAGATCAGTAGGTTAAATAAAAATTGAAACATACTTGGTAACAAACCTTTTCAGAAAGATTACAAGCCTTCAATCTCAGAACCCTGAAGAAATCATGGATTTTAACCTCTCCGCTGTGAGCAGGATGCAAACAGTGAGATAAACAATTCTTGCATTGCCACCAACTTAACCGCTATTGATATTGACACAAACTTAAATGCAATTATACAAACTCGAGAGAAAAGAAAGCATTTTGATCTGCATGTTGCAACTAGAACAGAATTAAGCATATTTAGATACATATGGTCTACATCTTCTGTTTAGTGGAGCCTCTACAATAACGTTGTAATAATCACAAATCACAATAAAAAAGCATCAATTTCAGAAGCCAGCTGTTGTAAGAAAATTGAGCTCACACGTTTTAAAATTATTCATAAAAAAAATAAAGAGAAGAAAAGCCTGATATGATAATGATTAATGAATATCACTGCAACAGCAGGATTATCCAGTGTGACTAAAATACAGCACACTGACAAGGGTAAAAAGAAAAAATAAAGGATACGAACAGAAATACTCAAGATCAACATTAATTATAACCCTACCAAGGATTTGATATATCTGAGAAAAATGGGAAGAAGCAATAACATATGCTTTTAAATCAAATAATGGAATATCAACGATAATTTGATTTAGCCACCAAAAGCCCCCATTTGCATCATAGGCATGGATGCAGAGCATTAGTTTAATGAAAATATCTATGCTCGAAAATAAACTCAAATAAAAATCATCTCTAAAAGTGAAAGAAAGGAAAAGGAAAAGAAACAAAAGGATACATGAAACGAAGCCTGAAAGAAGAAAAAAATAGCAAGCAGTTCAAACACCCTATTCGATTGCATGAAGTAGGTAAGGTGGCATGAAGCGCCAGATGAGCAACTCAAGCAGTGTCAATCAGAAGTTTATTATAAATAGTTCCTTACAGGTATATGAAGGCATACATTACAAGTATTATATTTATAGAAACATCACAAAAATTAAAATTTTACATTATACCTGGAATCTGGGTTCATGGATAGAAATGTATCCAGAAAGTCCACAGCTTCTGAACTGCTTAAATGGAATGCCTGGCAAGCAAGAGACATAATCCAATTCATATTTCCTTTCAGTGGATATAAAATTGAGAGTACTCCATTAACTATTAACTAGAATACTATATACAAAGCGAGAAATTTGTTTTGATGAGTGAACAATGTATTTAGAATAATTGATGTTAATCAAATTACTTGTATCCCCATCCTGCACTGTAAAAATACAACAATAATTTATAAAAAAAAACCAATGGTAATCTCTCTACAAAATTCATAAAACCAAAGTGTTACCAAAAAACGTTAATAACTAATGAATTAAAACTTGGAATGCACATTCCGAAACATATTTTCTTTCCAAAACAGTAAATTTAACAATCCAAAGCGATCTCAAAAGGTTTTTCAAATACATTTCCGCGAAGAATTCCCTAGGAGGATTTTTTTTTTTAAAAATCAACTAAAATATAAGTAGAGTTTTGACAAAACAAAACGTCAAAATCAGTCATAGACATAAATTAAGTAGGCAAGCTTAATAGAGTCCTCGACTATAGGAACACACAATATGCATTCTAGGTGTTTTACGTAAGTACTGAAAAATTCTTCTTCAAAGGCATATGTAAATTACAAGTTAAAGCATATTTTCAATTTTTCATCATTTTAACCACCAAATACACAAGCATACTTCAGTTTTTTTTTTTTTTTTTGCATACTTCGTTTTTTCTTTTTTTTTTCTTTCCCTTTCTAAAATGTGTGTTACACATTTAGCTTATATATATATATATATATTTGACCACAAAAAAAAAAAGGAAAGAAAGAGACCAAAGATATTCAGGGTATGATATCACCTATTGCGCAAAAGCACAAAATGAAGTCTTTTAAGGTTGGGCACAAAGTTAACACAGAACAATTATGGTTTTTTGATTAACAAACAGCTTTTTTGACCTATGGAATGTCAAATATGGTCACCGCTCCTTAACATGCACAAAATGTCACTAAATAGGAACATTTCACATCAACTTCAGGACAGAATGGAGTGGATAGTTACAATCTTTGAAATGCATTCAAAATAACCAAATAATTAAAGAAGTTGTAAATAATAGGTTTCAAAAATTTTTACTTGTTTAACCATGCCCGTAAGCAGCTACATTAACTTATGCAAGAAACTATGCTTATTCATGCATTTTGTCAAGCATTCAACAAAAAAAGCACATCTCTCAGCTTGAGGAGAATGGGCAGTAAACTATCTAGTTTGTCTTCATCTTCTATGACTGAAATTGTTTTTGTTTTTATCTTAAGATATGGTTATGTACAGCAGAGTAATACATCTAGATTTATAAAAATAAATTGACTGAATGCAACCTTCCAAATAACTGTTTTACCATATAAAACAACAATGAAGAGATATAAATCGAACTATAGTTTCTGCATATATTATTTATAACACAATAAAAGTATTATTAGTATATAAATCATTCAATTAAAAACTCACTGATTCCACCCTTGCCATTTCAACCGTATATAGTGTGGGATTTTCCTGCAAAGCATACAAATGACAAAATTAGGGCAGACTCCAAAGAAGACTTCAAACTCCCCCGAGAGAGAGAGAGAGATGCAACTTAGTTTTGTAAAAAATGCACCATTCTAAGAAGCATGGACACGGACACGTGGCACGACACGAATACGACACGGACACACCGACACGTTAATTTTAAAAAAATGCAGGACACGACACGTGGAGGACACGCATGAAATATATAATTTTATATATTTATTATATGTTATATATATGAATATATCATTCAAAGATAATAAAAAATGTAATATAGCACTATTTCCTATAAATTTATATGGTTTTTGTTTTATTATTGTATCTTAAGTTGTTTTGTTCAAACTTATAATTAGTTTTACATATCTATAATCAATAGACACATGTGTTTAAACAATTGACACATGTGTCCTCCAAGTGTCCAAAGAGTGTCCGGGTCTTTAAAAATATTTAAAAAATAGGACACGTTTTGAAGAGTATCGGACACGTGTCCTAAGAGTGTCCAAAGAGTGTCGGTGTCCGACACGAACACGACACGGATACGTCACCTTCTTAGAAGTGTCCGTGCTTCTTAGGCACCATTCTACTGGTTGTTCCATAATTCCCACAAGTCTTCCTGCATATCTTGGACATGGAATACAATTGCATAATTTAAATAAGGAAAAATGCTGAAAACAGACCTTTGGGCTGTCAATAGTCTTGGTGAATGTGTAAAAAAATGTATTAAAATTTGTGACAAGTCTAAATACATATGTGAAAATGCTTTGGGATGCGTAAAAAATACATTGAGTAACTTTTTTGGCTTTTGTTTCATTACTACTAGTAGACAAGATGACAAATTAACAAAAAGTTCTCAATGCAAATATGAGAAAATATTACAGAAACCAATGAAACCAACGTTGCATCCAGGAAAGTTCCTATGGTTTTCTAAGGCAAGGCAATAAACACTCAAAGCTCCTCTGTCTTTCCGCCAACATAAAGCATTCCAAGCTGAGTAGCATAATCTTTTTTCTTTTCTTTTTTTGGGATAAATTATACTCACCTCCCCTGATATTTGAAAAAAATACAGTTAGCCTCACACTTTGACATAATTACACTGGTTTGCTTTAAGGTTTTAATTCATATAACAGTTAGGAACTTTTTGATCAATAATTTGTTAGTTATATGAATGAAAAAATATCGTTATCATCTATTTTCTGCTAAAATATATATTTATGTTTATTTATTTCAGTGTCTACCCACAATCTACATTAGTTTTGGTCGTTTAGCCTTACTAAAAGAGAGGTTAATATAATTATGTAAAAAGTGTGGGGCTAACTATATTTTTTCAAAACCACAAGGGAGGTAAGTGTAATTTACCCCTTTTTTTTGCAACCAGCTCAATCATCTCTTTGAAAACTTTGAGCTGAGCTGGAGCAAGGTTGGCTTAGCTCTTGCCATGTTTGAAAATCTACTTCTCACCAGCCATGGTTAAGCAGCTAGATGTATACTCACATGGGTGTGGGTCCCATAAGTTGTGGGCCCCACACCTATGTAAGTATTGTGTAAAATTTTGGTAATTTTTTTGGAGTCCCTAGCATTGCAGACACTTCACGGACAAGTGTCTTGTGTTTGGACAAGCCTCAAGACACCTTGTAGACACAAATTTTAAAACATGAAGTGTTTCAACACATTTCAAAATTTTATGTTACAAATGTCCACTGTTTAGTTTTTTGGACTAAACAGTGTTGATTATTTGAATAGCAGGTTCTTATTTCCGATATGTATTTCAGATCGTTAATTACACATTTTATACAAATGAAACCTCCGATTAATGAAGAACAAAATAAATAACAAAAGATAATTTAAGAAATAAATATTTTATTGAAATTGTTATGAGTTTTGAACCCTCGAATACAAAATACAATTATTGTGTTTGGAACCCTTTACATATTCATCACCATTAGCATAGGCTCTTGAGTTCTTTAGGCTTCTCTTCTTCTTTCTTGTAACGACTTCTTTAGCTCTCAATTTCTTTCTCTCTTTCTCTGATCTTTTCACTTCTGATTTTCTCATCATTCGTCTTGTGTGATGGTTCTCATATTTATAGAGGGCCATCAGGTGATAGGAATGCCTCATCTTCAATTTGAATTTCAAATTGAATGATAGCGCCATTTGAATTTTGAATAATAGCGCTATCTGATTAACCGGATTGATCTTTGGGATTTCATCCTGTGTGGTATCCTTACTGTAGGCTCTACAGGTGTCATCTTTCGTAGGCTCCACGTGTCACTTGAGCATCTTGAATAACGTCGTTGAGATACGACGTTTTATTTATGTATTTCAACGGATCATATTAATCCTTTTTAGGCAGTGATTACCTACAACATTCCTATCATAGGCTCTGTGTGTGTCATTGACTGTATTTGAATTTTAAACATAAATTTGGTTGAAATTTATGTGCCAACACACCTTTTATAATTTCTTTTTTTTATAATTTTGGACAAATAATCCGGGTCAAGATAAAATCTATGAAAACAAAGAGAGAGAAAATTAAAAGAAAAAAAAAATGCACCCACATGTATATTAATGCCTCTTATATGTTTGTGTCCTAAATTTATATTGCTATACATAGCAGATAAAAATATATAAAAGAACATTTTTTTGTTGTATCCCTATCGTGTCCATATCCTATTTTTTTCAAACTCGCCATGTCCTGTATCCGTATTCATGTCCATGCTTCTTAGAGAGGAATTATAAGCATTAAATGGTGCTTCAAGGCCTACACCTAATACATTATGAGATCCCAAGGAAACAAGGTAAATTCCATCACTGCAGCTGCATCAAATATCCAAGGTCCATCGCAAAAAAGGCTGTCAAATTAAGTTTAAGAGCTGAAATATAGCACTTGAAAAAATATTTGAATGAAACACATGATCATTTGTGCAGACCTAAAAGCAAGATAAACTATAAAAGGCAAACACATGGAGCAAGTAAAGTGACCTGTTTGGACTTGGAAGCTTTTGCAAACAGCATGATGTCCCCATAGGAATGAGATGTTTGTACAACATTAAGAGCGGTAGCTATAGCATGACTAGTCTGCATATATCCATCAAGGATGAAGTGATAGATTAAAATTCAATAATCCACAAATAACTTAAGGAGAATGATATATATACTCAAGGCAGCTCAAGTGGAAAATCGAGACAGATCCAAAATGGAATGTACTGTTAGACAATCATCAAGTTCACCTAAATAGGATTCTTCTCCCTTTACCCATATTACAAAGAAAAAGTTCTAAGAATCAACCAGTTGCGGAGCAAGAAACGTCCATTAAACAATTCACCACTAATATCAACCTTCAATTATACATAATTTACACTAATAAACTTGGGTAATACACAAAACTAGATCAAGTAATTTATAGTTACCAAATTACTAGTACCATAATGAAAGCAAAAACCACAATAGTTAATTTAATGAAAAATTCTAGAAAACTATTTCATAAAAAACTAATAAATGTCCACTTGCATCAATTCCAAATCACTAATAAAATTTTAAACAATTGGAAGTAAAATACTATACTGAAATAGCATAAAATACTAATAAAGTTGAACAATTGATTCCATAAATCATAAATGTATAATATTTTCCCTTGATTAAAATTTTGAACAAATTTAATTCAGATACATCCTTAGAACATAAAGTTTGTTTAGTTAATTTAGTTGAAGAAAATAACACCCATTGTGTTTGTTGACAATTCCTTTTTAATGCCAAAAGTTATCTTCTATTTTTATTTTCCCTTTTTAAAATATAAGCATAAAGCATATCCTAAACTCTCACATAATGCCGTAATCATCTCCTTGGATATTAGGATAGTAGTGATGTATAACGTAGGTAACACATGAACACCTACAAAAAAATTCAAAGAAAGAAAGAATAACTAAAAGATTGGAAGAAGAAGAAGGGAAAAAAAACAAAAAAAACAAAGGTAACATGCAAGTGTAATATGAGTATATATTAATATCTATGCTTTATGAAATTAGCTCATACCCTTTAGTATAAGATTGACCTCACTTAAAATAAAATTTATACGTGGCTCTGCCCCTAAGAATCAAGGCAGTAGACCAACTGCTACTAAACAAAAAAATTTTCCCAAACTAAAGACTTATTTATTTATTTTTTGGCACTAGGTGGATCGAAGCCCGACTAATCCCCAGGGGTGAAAACTAAGAACTTGACCATGGGAAACCTGATGTAGAACAAGTGGCTGCAGATTGCTTGAAGCAATTAGACATAAGACAAGGAAATCAAATTATTGATCAAGGATGAAATGATAGTTTTAAACAAGTTTTACTTGGCTACCAAGAACTTTTCTTGATGACCAAGGATTATCCTAATTAGCTACTTTCTTGTAATACTTCGTCTCCAAGTATTCTTGGTGACAAAAACTAGTATTATCTTAGTTTATTATTTTTATATTTTCCTTGGTCTCCAAGTATGCTTGGTTTCCAAGACTTTATCCAGTATAAATAGTCATGTAAGCCTAAGGGCAAAGGCATGCTCTATCAATATAATTTTCAAGTTACTCTATTTTACTCGTGGATTCAAGAGTTTTCGTCTACTAGAGTGATATCTAATTTCGTGCATATTCCACCGTGTCAAAACCATTCCTCCAATTGTAATAAGTTAACACAACGCACATAGAAGACACGAGGGCTGCTGCATGTGCAATTGCACCCAATTTAATTTGGCACTATATGCTATTTGTTTGGAACCAAATAACATGAAAAGCGTAGACAACTCATGAATGAAATACCTTTTTATATGGATTTATCTTTAATATATACAAGGAACAAAATTTTCATTTGTTTCCATTGAAATGGCCGAAATGTTTCCATTTCCCAAGACACCAAAACAAAACACTAGTGGACTAATAAAATTCAAGTGTTTCCATTGAAACACATCAAAACATAGTGGAACACACCAAACATAGTGTGATATTTAGAAATTTTCATAAACGTTTATTACTACTGTTTAAACTTTCAGACCTTATTCGGAACTTTTGTTAATACATAATAATTTTTAATTGATAGTAACATTAGTTTTTTAACTCATTTACCTGAATGACTATATAAATCTCAATTTGTTTAATAGATCAATTAAAGCTTTTATACTCCAAACATTTCTATTTTTTAATAACTTTGAAACCTTTTAATAACTTTTTGGTTTTTTGGCTAAAATATGATGTAAAAAAAAACTAGCATGTTTGGGATGACTTTTTTACTTTTTACGAAAAGATGTGCAAAAAGTAGAGAAAAAAAGGAATCTTTGACTTTTTGGTATAGGTTGTTGGCTTTTTGGCTTTTTTAGTAACTTTTTGACTTTTTTGCTAAAAAAGCCACTTGCCAAACGAGGCCTAAGTTAAAATAGGAAAAACGCGATTGTGTGATTGTGTTTCCTTATATTATGCCTATGGCACTCCTGTAACTACTCAGTATTAACAATATAAAAAGGAATGAAGTCTACCTCATTTCCTAACTCTTTTCTTTTCTCTAAACCTACATGGTATCAGAGCCAAAACCCTAGCCCCTCCCTCTCTTTCTTCTCTTCCGCTGCCCGCAGTCCCGTTTTAACAGCCTAGTCACTATAGACTATCACCCAGCCACTGTCGACCTTAACTTAGCCCACCTACAGGCCAGCTACACCTCCAACACACTTACCTCAATTGTCAGCAGTCCTCCTGGACTCTCCGACTGCCTCTTAGACTTAGTCGGCAGCCCCTCTGGTTGTCTAGGAGTTCGTCGACAATTCCTCTAGCCTCCTAGGGATCTGTCAGCAGCCCATCTGGCCTTCTTGGCCCTTGTCGGCAGCCCCTCTGAGCTTGTGAGCTTCTGTCGTGGTCGACTGGTCATCTCTCCTTGCGTCATCTGTCGTCTCTTTCTGAGTTTGAGTCGGTAATGTTCTTTATTTAAAAGGTCATACCTTCAAAATAAATAAATAAATAAATTCTGGTGATGTAAAAAAAATAAAATAAAAAATAAAAAATTGGCTTCTCAAGTCTTTATGCTTTTCTAGTTACTGTTGTGCTTGTTCCTCCACCATCTTCCGAGTTTGTAATTGGTCCTGGGTTTGAGGGTTGCTTCGTAGAATTTTTATGGCAGATTTCACTAGTGAGTCAACAAATTCTCAGTTGCTTAAGAGCGAGAGCTCAGTTATCTCTTCTACCATGACAGATAATTTCAACCCTAGCCTTAAAATCACTTCTCTATTCAATGGTCAGAACTTTCTAGCGTGGTCGCAGAGTCTGACTATTTTCTTGAAGAGCAGAGAGAAGATGGGGTATGTTAATTGCAGGATACAGGCACCTAACACCACAGACCCGAGTTATGATCAGTGGGAGATCACCAACTCCCACATTATGGGTTGGTTGATACATTCTATGGTCCCGAAGATCAGAGAGGGCTATCTCTCTACGGAGATTGCATAGGATATTTGGGAGCCAGTGACTACCACTTACTCCCGGAAGGGGAACTTCTCCCAGGCTTTTGAGTTACGTCGCTCCATTGAAAGGTCTATACAAGATGAGACGACTATCCTTCAGTATTTTACCTTCCTTGGCAATGGGTGAAAGCGACTTGATCACCTTCAGGATTACAAACCTGTTTGTCCCACTGATTCTGTTGGTTACCAGAAGTTTGTGTCACAAGAGCGGGTCTTCAAGTTCTTGGAAGGCCTAAATGTAGAGTATGATCTAGTACGGAGCAGAGTACTTGGCATGGATGTGCTTCCTTCTCTACAGGAAGCCTTTGCTTTTGTGCAGAATGAAGAGAGTAACCGCTCTGCGATACTTTCACTTAGAAAATATGAGGAAGAAGAACTCCGAAAATATGAGGAAGAAGGAATATATTTCAATTATATTCAAAACTTCTTATCTTACAAGACCAAATGACACTCCTTATATAGGAGATATTACAAACATCATGATAACCCATTATATGCCACTTACATATTATATATTACCACTATCTACCACTAGCATATTATATCTGCTACAGGTGCACCCTCTTCTTCTTTTGCCAATTCAGGTAACCTGGCTTTCTTCCCATATGCATTGCTCTCCCATACGACTGTACCATGGATAATTGATTCTGGTGCTTCCGACCATATGTCTGGCTTCTCTAATTTGTTTTCAGAGTATAACCCCTCCCCATGTCAGGAAAAAGTACGTATTGTTGATGGTACTATGTCCTCTGTGTCAAGAAAAGGTTTAATTCATGCTACCTCTTCTCTTCATTTGTCCTCTGTTCTTCATGTTCCAAATTTTGGTGTTAATATTTTATCTTTAAGTCGTATTACCCGTGACTTAAATTGTAGCGTGACATTTTTTTCTGATCATTGTCTTTTTCAGGATCTCATCACGAGGAAGAGGATTGGCAGTGGTAGAGAGGAACATGGTCTCTATATTCTGGATCAGACCGACAAGTTGGCTCATTCATCTATTCCGTTACTATCCACCAAGGACGACATTTGGCTGTGGCACCGTCGCTTAGGACATCCCTCTTTTTTATTACTTAAACATTTATTTCCTTCTGTTTTTGAGAAAAATAATGTGTCAGATTTTCAATGTGAGTCTTGTCAACTTGAAAAACAACATAGAGCCTCTTTTGCTCCTTCTATTAATAAAAGTTTCGTTTCATTTTCTTTGATTCATTTTGATATATGGGGTCCATCCCGTTTTGTGTCTTTTTTTTAACTGGTAAAAAATGGTTTGTTACCTTCATAGATGATTGTTTTCGGGCCACTTGGGTCTATTTGATGAAAGATAACAGTGAGGTCTTTTCTGTGTTTCAAAACTTCCATCAAATGATTGTCAAAATTCTACGTTCTGATAATGGAGGGGAATATATTGACTCTGGTCTTGCCACTTACTTCGCCACCCATGGCATTATTCACCAGACTTCATGCACTAATAACCCTCAACAAAATGGTGTTGCAAAATGCAAAAATCGCTATCTCCTTGATGTCGCCCGTTGTCTATCCATTGAGATGCGGGTTCCTCGATTCTATTGGGGGGAAGCGGTTCTCACTGCCGCTTA